AAAGGCTTTTGTATAAACCTGGTTATTTAATCTTTTAATCCCCTGGGAAGAAATGGGGTATAATGCAGCCTAATTATAGACTAATCATAGAATAATAGACTGTTTGAGCTGGAGCCTAAATGATATGACAAATCTAGAAAGTTCCCTCTTAGTGGGCTTAAGGACGCTTTGGCGGTTGAAATTTCATAACCATGCTTTCAAATTAGCACTAGAGAAAGGCTGGTTCACTCTGTCAGGATTTAAAATGTCAATGGGGAAGGGATGCACTGAGTTACTTTGAACCAGCTCTCAAGAGTCAATTGTTAAATTGTCAGAGGGAGCGTTTTCAACTCAGAAATCCACAAATGCTACAAATTAGGACCTGATTCGTTGTTTTGTGGGTTGTCTAGACTTAATCGTTATTACAATAATAACTAGCATTCACATAGCTCCTACTGTGTCTCACACACCGTACTAAGCACTTAATAAATATTATCTCATTGGAGCTCCACAAGAACCCTGGGGAGCAGGTGCTAGTATTGTCCTGCTTTTACAGATGAAAAAATAGAGGTAGACAGAGGACTTGCCCAGGGTCACTCCACCAGGAAGTGTCTGAGGCTGGATTGGAACTGGGGCATTCTTGACTCCAAGCCCAATAACCACGCCACCTTGTTGCCCCCACACTCTAATAGAGGGAGACAGTGTGTAAAGGAGAGTTCGGCTGCAGGACCAATTGAATTCTACTCCTAAGGTGGCTCAGCAGATAGCAAGGGCAAATGTTTCTCCATCTCACCCCCCCCACCAAAAAAACCCTGCAGTTAGTTTGTACTCCTTGCTCATCAAAGCAATTTGAGTGACAGTGTCCCGGAGTAGCCTCAACTCTGACCATCGCGAAGAGGGGAGCCTGGTGTGATCTGAGCAGATGGAAGACTGGGCAATTGAAGAAGGGCTTTAGGTAATTAGGTGATGCTATGGTGAGAACAGTCGGGAAGAATTGAGTTCAAATCCTGCTTATTAGTGGTGTGACCTGTGTAGGTCACTAAACCTCCAACTGCCTCATTTTCCCAATCAGTAAAACAGGAGTAATAATAACATCCACCCCGCCAGGATTGTTGTTTGGATGAAATGACATAACATTTGTATGATGCTTCATAAACCCAAAAGTGCTGTGTTAATTCCAGACATCTTTATCCTTAATCTTAGTGGATCTGGCTGGCTGCACCCTCTGGTGTCCGGTCAGGAGTGCAGAGGCAGTGAGCTGGGGCTCCACTGAACCTATCATTTTTTCGTGGAGCAATACTACTCTATCATATTCTTTCAATTTTCTTTTAATTTAGTAGTTATCCCCAGAGAACCCAGGCTTTCCCTGCAGTGGTGGAGCACTGATTTCCTGCTTATCCGTCTCTCTGTCTGACAACAGATCTCATTCACTGGCCGTGTTTTGTCTCCAGACAGAGAAACTGTGGGCAGTAGCTGAAAGGGAGCGTAGGCAGTTCTAACGGACTTGGAGAGCAGGAAAGTTGGTCAAGACCAAGTCCAATGACACTGACAAGAGAGAGCGTGGAAGTGAAGAAATTCTGGATTCCACCCATGGTTTTGTTTCATTTTTACACTCCCAAAGTCTGGGGTAAATACTCGAGTCAGAATGCTCCTTCCTGTAATCCCTGCCTGTTAATCTCCTGCTCCTGCCCTGGTGCCTTCATGTGGCTTGTTCAACACCCCACAAGTTACACCTAAGCTTCCTGCTCACCATGACTGGTGAAACAGACTCATGAGGGTATGGAGGTGGCAGGGTGGCAGGGAGCCGAGATCACAAGCATGCCTCGGACCTCCATCTCCTGCAGCAAGGAAAGGGCAGAGGAGCTTAGAAAAACATTCTGAAATCTGACCGATCCAAGTTTACTTGGCATAAACAAATTTGGTTCTGGTGACGGAGAAACAACAGCAACAATGGTGAAAACGGGACAAGAGGCCCCTCACCGTCCTCAGTTTCCTCCTGGGTGAGATTAGGGTGCTGGACTAGTTGCCTTTGAGGTCCCTTCTGCCTCCAGACCCATGAACTCCCCTTGACTTAGTGCTGGCCTTGCAGAATTTCTAGCAAGCTCTTTTTAGAAGGAAAATAATTCTTATATGTTCATCCCCAACCAACTAGGAGGAACAGGAAGTGGTGGAGATGACTCACTGAGTAACTCTTCCTTCTATCAGCTCTGGCTGAAGCCCCTCGATGAATAGGAAGAAATTCAGAGCTGAGAACTGAGTGTCTATAGATGCCCTCGTTTGGATGAGGCAAAAAGAGATATATGTGTACTTATCTTTCTTCATCAATGCTTCCATATTTTTCTTTAGATGGATTCAGGAAATTAATTCATTTATTGTAGAAAGACCACATGCACTTGAGTGCGCACACACACGTGTGCATGCGCGCGCACACACACACACACCACACACACACACACACACACACACACACACACTACCTCTTTTATCTGGCATGGTTGGAAAGAGGCGCATTCCAGATAAACAGGTTTTCTAGATGACTGGTTTACCCCCTTCTCTTTTGCGTTAATCTGTTTAGATGGAAATCTTTCTAGTGTGTCTCATACACTTTCCGCCTTCATAGACAGAGACTACTCCAATCTGTCAGTGGAGGTTTGGCTTCATCCCTGTGTTGGTTTCCTTGGAAACCCATCCCTGCTCTCTTCCCCTGGGGATTCTTGTCTCCGTGTTTTCCCATATATCCTCCAAAAGCAATCTCCTATAAGTCTTTCTCTAGGTTGATTAACGTTTTGTGGTTTCCAGTGTGACATACCTGTCCAGTCCATTTTGTCTTTGAATCCTCACTACCTAGCCTAGCACCTGACTCAGAGTAGGGTCATAGATTTAGAGCACGAAATGACCTGAGGGCCATCTAGTCCAATCTCTTCATTTTACAGATGAGGAAACTGAGGCTTAGCAAAGTTACATGGCTTAGGCTGAAAGAAACTTTAGAGGCAATATAATCCAATCTTTTTGTTTTACAGATGAAGAAACAGGCTCAGAGAAGAAAAGTGTCTGGTCCAAGGACACATGTGTAATAAATATCAGTGACAGGATTTAAACCTAGGTCTTTAACTCCAAATCCATTATTCTGTGAACTGTGCTATCTTCAATAATAAGTAACTATTAAGCACCTACTAGGTGCCAGGCACTATATTAGGTGCTGGAGAATGAAAGGAATGGAACTGGAGTGTGAGGGAAGAGAAGGGAACAGGCATTTATTAAGGATCTACTGAATGCCAGGCACTGTGCTCAGTGCTTTACAAATATTATCTCATTTGAGCTTTACAACCAGTGTGGGAGGCAGGTGCAGTCATTTTCTCTAGGGATCTCTCTGTCTCACTCTCTCTCTCTGACTCTGTGTCTTTCCCTCCCTTTCTCTCTCTCTGTCTCCCTGCCTCTGTCTCTGTCTCTGTCTCTCTCTCTCTCTCTCTCTCTCTCTCTCTCTCTCTCTCTCTCTCTCTCTCTCTCCCCTTCCCTCCCTCCCTCCCTCCTGCTGACCACTCCTTCTCTCTCTCCTTTGCTGGGTCCTCCTCCAGATCATGACCTCTAACCAGAGATGTCCCTCACGGTCCTATCCTGGGCTTTCTTCTCTTTTCCCTCTATACTACTTCACTTGAGGATCTCATCAGCTCCCCTGGATTTAATGACCATCTCTGTGCTGAAGATTCTCAGATCTACCTCTCCTGCCCCTACCTCTCTGCTCACCTCCAGACTCGCATCTCCAGCTGCCTTTCAGACACCTTGAATTGAATGTGCAGTAACATCTTGGACTCCACACGTCCAAAAGGGGACTCATCCTTTTTCCTCTTCAAGTCTTCCCCCTTCCAGACTTCCTTATCCCTGTCAAAGGCCACACTCTCCTCCCAGTTCCCCAGGCTTATGAACTAGGAGTCATCCTGGACTTCTCCCTCTCTCTCACCCCTCCCCCATCCAATATGGAGCTAAAGACTGTGATTTCGCCTCTGCAGCCTCTCTCCAATATGTCCCCTTACCTCCTCAGTTCCTGCCCCCACCCCAGTGCAGACCCTCCTTGGGACACTGGAACTATGGCAGCAGCTTCTGAGGGGTCTGCCTGCCTCTTCTCTCCCCACTCCAATACATCTTCCATTCAGCCACCAAAGTGATCTTCCCAAAGCTGGAACCTGCCCCTACAGACCCAGGACAGCTAATTCCTGAATTTCAGTGTAAGAATTTGAACCATGGAAATTGGCAAACACTCCATGTCAAGCCTTGATTTACTGTTTTGCCTGGTCCAGAGGCGTCAAATGCACTGCCTAGGCACCTGTGGCCCCCAACCCTCCCAAGTGTGGCCAGAACCAGATTAAAAGGTAACTGGGCAATATTTAACAAAATAAATAAAGTACAACAAAACACAGATACCACATTTAAAAACTAAGGGAATGTGGCACCCACAAAGATCCATAGGTACAGATTAGTTGCCCCTTTTGTATTTGAATTGGACATCCCTGGTCTAGACCTAAAAAGTATCATAATAAGATTAAACCTTAAAACTTGTTGTCCTAATTGTTAAACATTCACCAGTGGCGTGCTGCTTCTAACCTATCGAGGCAGGCATCATGGGGCTTATTATTCCCATTTTATTGATGAAGAAACCGAGCCTTCAGAAAGGCTTAGTATCTCGCTGGGGTCACAGAAATCGAGTCAAAGTCAAGATTCAAACACAGACCTTCCTGCCTCCAAATCCAGCTTTCCCTAATAAGTTATAATTATTTGCCTAAGGTGCAAGTTGACTTAAAATATCCTATTTCAGACCCTGATGATTTTGGTGAAGGTAGAGGAGAAATAAAGGTCAAGCCCATTGCCTCCTTCTTGGAGGGGCCCAATAGCCTGGAGCCACACCACAAGAAAGGTCCTGACAAAGCAAATGTAGCAAATGTCGCTTGAAGAGATCTGGGCTTTCCCAGAACACGACACAGTCTGAGCCAGTCATCTCAAGCCGGACAGTGAGAGTTCCTCTCAAAGCAGCCCAGATATAGGTCAGGCCTCTGCTGCCTTTTCCATTTGCTTCAGGGCTCTGTTCTGAGGGGAGCTTCGTGAGGAGGTAAGGGAACAGAGGCCCTAGAGCCTGAAAAGGGAGGCTGTGATCAGCTGGTCAGTATCTTTCTTCTCTCTGGGTTCTATAATCCTTCACTTTGGGTTTATGAAAGTGCAGTCAATAAAAATACCCTGGCAGCATGGGAAAAAAACGATTTCCTCCCCTGCCCTCCTCTTCCCCTCTCCTCTCCTTCCCTTCCTTCTCCTCTCTTCTCATCTCATCTCTTTTCTTCCCTCTCTCTGTAATTCCCTCCCTTCTCTTCTCTCTTCTCTTCTCCCCTCTTTTTCTCGCTTTTCCTCCCCTCCCTTCTCATCTCCTTTCTTCTCCTCTTTCCTCTTCTCTTCTCCCATCTCTCTTTCTCTCCTTCCTTCTCTTCTCTCTCCCCTATTTTCCTCTCCTCCCTTCTCTCTTCCTCTCCTTTCCTCTTCTTTCTTCTCTCCTCTCCTCCCCTTCCTTCCCCTCTCATCTTCTCCTCACCCCTCTTCTCCCCTCTCTCGTTCTCTAATTTCCTCCCCTCTCTTCTTCCCTCTCTCTTTCTCTAATCCTCTCCTCTACCCTCCTCTTTTCTCCTCTCTTCTCCTTCCCTCCCTTCCCATCTCCTTCTTTCTCCTCTTTCCTCTTTACTTCCCTCTCTTTTTCTCTCTTTTCTTCTGTCCTCTCTCCCATGTTTTCTTCTCCTCCCTTCTCTTTTCCTCTCCTCCCCTCTCCTTTTCTCTTCTCTCTCCTCTCCTCCCCTTCCTTTTCCTCTCACTTCTCCTCATCCCTTTTCTCCCCTCTCTCTCTAGTTCCTTCCCCTCTCTTCTCTCTTCTCCCCTCTTTTTTTGTCTCCTCCCCTCCCCTCCATTCCCATATTTTTCTTCTCCTCTTTCCTCTTCTCTTCTCCCCTCTCTCTTTCTCTTCTTCCTTCTCCTCTCCTCTCTCCCTTATTTTCCTCTCCTCTCTTCTCTCTTCCTGTCCTTTCCTTGTCTTTCTTCTCTCTTCTCCTCTCAGTTCTTCTCCTCACCCCTCTTCTCCCCTCTCTGGTTTTCTAATTTCCTACCCTCTCTTCTCTCTTCTCCCCTCTCTTTTTCTCTCCTATCTTCTCCTCTACTACATCCCTTGTTTTCCTATCCTCCCTTTCCTCTTTCTCTCCTTTCCTCTCCTCTTTCTCCTCTCCTCTCTTCCTTTTTTCTTCTCCTTTCCTCTCCTCTTTTTTCCTTGTCTTTCTCCTTGCCTTTCTCTTATTTCCTTCTATTTTCTTATCTTCTTCCTCCTCTGTCTTCTTTTCTTTTATCTTCTGTTAGCTTCTAAGTAATTTGTGCAGAAAAGAAAGAATATGATTAACAAGATGTTGTGGGAAGCTCACTAGACAAAAAGTCAGAGGTCCAAGGGTCCACATGCCACTTGTGACCCCTCCTTCCTGTGTGACCTTGGACAAGTCACTGACCCTCCCTGGGTAGCAGTTCCTCACCCACCCAATGAAGCGGTTGGACACAGTGGCTTCTGAGGCTCCTTCCAACTGTAGAGCAATGATCCTAATAATAGCAGGAATGGTCATAACAGAGAGAACTTCGATAGATTTCTGACTCATTTCTTAACTCAGACTCGGCAGCTTCATAAGCTTGGAGACTTCACTTTCTCTGCCCAAGTCAGATCAAAGTCAGAGGTTTGGTGACATCATCATACCTGGTCACACAACCAGGACAGACTTAGCCAGAGCTTCAACATAATGATTAAATAATGGCTAAGGAAATCACACAGACTCCTTTGTCTAAGATGGTGGGCAGGAAGGCTGTCCTCACTTTATTTTGTGTGTTTTTTTCTGAGGAGCGGATTATTTTTCCATTTATAGGAGAGGCAGGCCAGTAGAGTGGATGAAGAGTCAGCCTCTGAACAGGGAGAGCTGAGGTGAGTTCTACCTTGGCCATACACTGATTCTGTGACCCTGGGCAAATTGCTCAGCCTCAGTGCCCTAGGAAGATCTCAAAAAACAGCTGCAGACCTTCACTGGAGGACAGGGTTTCCCCAGTGGGAGTTCCCTAAATAAATAAAATTTTTAAAAAATTCTAGCATTTATATAGCACTCTAAGGTTTGTGAAGAGCTTTATGAATATTTTCTCTTGTGAACCTCACAACAACCCTGTCAGGTAGATGATATTACTATCTTCCTTTCATAGATGTGGAAACTGAGGCTGAGATGGGTTAAACGACTTGTCCAGGACCACCCAGCTATAAGTGTCTGAATCAGGATTTGAACTCAGGTCTTCCTGACTCAAAGTCCAGTTGTTTCCACTGTACCACCAACTATTTATTAATTAAATCATAGGACTGGCCTTAAAAAATATTAAGAAGTGTTTCCCTACAGGTGGCGGTAATTTACTAGTGAAAGCAGTGGGCTCTAAGTCAGATCTGGGTTTGAATGCTTATGCAGTCAGCCAAGTGGTACAGTGGATAGAATGCCAGACTTGGGATCAGAAAGACCTGAGTTCAAATCTAGCCTCAGACACGTACTAGATGTGTCACTTACATTCTTTCAGCCTCTGTTTCCTCCTCTCTAAAATGGCTATAATAATAGCCTCTCAGGGTTGTTGGAAGGATGAAATGAGTTAATACTTGTAAATTTGCTTCTAGATGTTATTATTGTTACTACTACAGTCTCCTGCATTTCCTTGCTGTGTGACCCTGGGCATTTCACTTCACCTCTGCTTTCCTCAGTTTCCTCATCTGTACAATGGGCATAATAATAGCACCTACCTCCCAGGGTTCTTGTAAGGATCAAATAAGATAATATTGATAAATTTGCTTTGCTGACCTTAAAAAGCTAAATACCTGTTAGATATTATTATTATCATCATCGTCATCATTACCTCTTGCATTTACTAGCTGTGTGAACCTCAGAAAGTACTTAAGCTCCCCAAGGTTCAGTTTTTCATCTGTAAAATGGGAAGAATGATACTTGTGGCCCCTGCCTCAAAAGGTTGTTGCTAGAATCCAGTGAAAACACGGATGTTTGAATTGATTTGTCAACCTCAAACTGCTGCACGAAGGTCATCCACTATTAATAACAATAATTCTGTCCCAGTTCCCTAAAGATGTCCTCCTTTGGGGTTTCAGAAATTCTAGGCTCCCACACAGCCTTCCAACCTTGTGCCACTCTAGTGATTCTGCGCCATATGTTGTAGAGGGCATAGCTTCTTGGGTAGGGATTGGACAAGATGGCCCCTTCCAGCTCTAAGATGCTGGGCTTCTGGGATACTTCCTAATGCCGATCACTCCACTTGGGCTCACCTCATCTTTCCTCACTCTATCCGATCAACTGATCAATGGGAATTTAGTGACCACTGTTAGCAACCAAGCAGGATGCTGGGTGCTGGTGCTGTAGAGGCAAAACCTTGGCGGGAAGGGGGACAACATGAAAGCATATAAGCCAACGCAAAGTACACCCTGGGACAGCTAAATGGTACAATAGAGAAAGTGTTTGACTCAGAGTTAGCAAAGCCTGATTACAAAGCCTGCCTCAGGCATTCACTAACTGGGTGACTGTGGGTGAGTCATTTCATGCCCTTCAGCCTCAGTTTCCTCATCGGTCAAATGGGACTAATAAGAGCACCTATGCCCAGGGCTGTTGTGGCCATCAAATGAGACATGTGCCAGGTGCTTTGTGGAATGTAACGCTCTATAGCATTTCTATAAATGCGAGCTATTCTTTCTTTTTTTTTTTAAGGCAATTGGGGTTAAGTGACTTGCCCAGGGTCACACAGCTAGTAAGTGTCAAATGTTTGGTCTGAGGCTAGATTTGAACTCAAGTCCTCCTGACTTCAGGGCTGGTGCTCTATCTACTGTGCCACCCAGCTGCCCAATGCTAGCTGTTCTTATTAAATAAAAAAGCAATTTTGGAGAGAAAGGCTCTAGAACAAGGAGAAAGGCCTCATGTTGGAGGCAGCACTGGAGCTGAACCTATGTATGTACATTTTGTTGAGTCAATAGAATGTAAGCTCCTTGAGGGCAGGGCCAATTTCAGTTTTGCCTTTGTATCTCCAGCAGTGAGGACAGTGTCTGGTAGAGAGCAGGCACTTAATATTTGCTTACTGATTGATTGATGGAGCTAAAGAAAGTGGTGGAGGTGAGAAAGGAGGGCAATGCTGGCAGGGGGACAGCCTGGGCGAAGACAAGGAGGTGGGGTGTTTGTACACAAAGAACAACAAGCTGGCCAGATTGGTTCGAATGGGATAGAGATAGGGAGTGGCCTCTCTTTTCATCCCTTTATGGTACTTCTGGGTGAGGAAACTCATCATTCTCTTCTCTGCAGTTTAGAATTTTAGCGAGTTTCCTAGAACACTGAATGGTTTGAGCGACTTGCCCAGGGCAAAACTCCCTGTGTGGAAGCAGGTGAGCACCTTCTCCACTACTTCCTGTCTCAGAGGGTTGCCAGGATCTGGGGATGCAAAGATAATTGTCCCTGCCCTTGGAGGAATCGACATTCTACTTGTCGGGGTGGAACACAGAGCATTCACAGACACCACGCAAGAAGTAAAAAGTACTTTTGATGTTTGTGTAGGGATTGCTAACAACTTTGGGGCACTCAGGAAAGAGCTCTTGAAAGAAGTGATCCCTGGGCTGAGTCTTGGAGCCAAGGAGGGCTTCTAAGCAGGAATTCTCCTCCTCATTCCCCACCCCACTGACCTCCTGGATTTCAGGATCTCTAGAAACTCGTCATACTGCAGGAAGACATCATCTCTTAGGCTCGTACCCCCTCAGCCATCCCTGCTCCAAAGTCCCAGAAGGTACAGGTGGACAACTGGAAGGCCCCCCTCTCCCCCCAGACCTTCTGTGTGAGTAGGGCAGAGAATTCTGCTCCTCCTTTCCCATACAGCTGATCTCCTGGATTTCATGATTTCCAGAAACTCCTTATTCTGCAGAACGAATTCAACTCTATAACTCACACCTACCTAGGCTGCAGGACTTCATCACTCTCTTGCACAAGGCACCCTCTCTCCCCACTCCCCACCCCTTTCAGCATCTTTTTAATAAGTTATCTTCTCTGTTAGACTGGGAGCTTCCTGAGGGCAGGAATTGTCTGAAGACTTTCTTGGTATTCCCAGTACTTTGCACAGTGTCTGGAACACAGCAGGCACTTAATAGATGCTCTAACTCAGAACAATTGATTAAAGTACTGTGCTTTGGGAGAATATGAAAGCTTCCCTTCTTTTTCAGGGGAGAATCCATGGCATCTCACCACTTTCCGACATGAGAAAAGCTCTCAGCCACCGAGGAGTAGTGATAATACTTTGTGTACTTGTCGAGTGGAGTTCTGGAGGTATTCTGCTTCAGTTGTTCGTCTTTATTAGGGGGTGAAAAGGGGATAATGAAACCCCAAAGTTAAAGCTGGCCATCTAGCCCGGCCTGCTGCCAAAGCCAGAAATCCCTGCTGCAATAGCCTTGGAAGATGCAGTTCCAGTCTTTGCCTGAATACTTTCAGACAGTATGGTCCAGTGGCAAAAGCACTTGGGTTCAAATCCTGCTTTTGATACTTACTACCTGTGTAACCTGAAGCAAATCACTTCATTTCACTGGGCTTCAGTTTCCTCATCTGTAAAATGGGAGGGGTGGCCTCTGGGGTCTCTTCCAGCTTTTTCTTTCCTTCTCCAGCTCATTTTACAGATGAGGAAACTGAGGCAGACAGGATTGAGTGACTTGCCCAGGGTCACACAGCCAGCAAGTGTCTGAGGCCATATTTGAACTCAGATCTTCTTAACTTCCACCACGGCACCACCTAGCTGCCCATTCTATTTTCTACGCATAAATAAATATTACCTGCAAGGTAATTACAGAAACACAGCAAAAAATTATTTTCAAGTAACTGGGAAGTATTTGATATGTCTGGCACCATTTTAGACACTGCACTTTCAAATGTCCGCAGTAGGAACCAGACACTTCGCCGAGGTTTGGGGCTTCTGGGGTGACATTGGATTCTGCTGTCTTGTCTTCTCAGGAATAACAACTGTCATATGCTCGGGCCGCGTCTGGGTGGAGCCGGCGCCGGTCTTTGAGATGGGATTGAACGTCTCCATCCTTTGCCAGTCAGCTCTACAGAACTGCCAGCCGAGGAAATTTCATCTCTATAAAAGTAGTAAAGGCATCCAGGACAAGCTTCGGATGGCGAAACTCAACCAGACTACGGCTCGGCTGCAGCTTAGCGACTTCCGAGAGCCGAGAGCCCACGTAATCTGCAGGGTGGAGTGTCCCCGGCAAGAAGGAGAGAGGTTGATCTGCGGAGAAGACATGGCTTCTGGCTGTAAGTACTGGGAGATAACTGGGTGCAAACGTGTCAGGAGAACCACACGAGAGTCTGAAATAAACTAGCGTTTGTACAGTGCTTGAAGGTTTTCGAAGCGCTTTATGTCGAATGGACTATCTCACTGAAGTCTCCCAGCACCGCTAGGAGGAAAGTGCTATAATCAGCTCTATTTGATAGAAAAGGAAAATGAGTCTGAGTGACATTGAGACATTTGCCTAGGATCACACAGCTAGTCTTTAAGGTAGAATTTGAACTCAGATCTTCCTGGCACCAAGTCCAGTGCTCTGTCTACTGTATCCCTCAACGGCGGCTCCCTATCAGTCTTTCTTCCTGGAAATTCTAGACAGGACAGGGAAAAGCTCATTGGAGTCGACTTCATAGATTCTCTGGGTTTTAAAAATTCTACTCTCATGGATCTGGGACCTGGGGGGGGGGTATCCCCTCCTCTCACTGATGGCAATCTCAACCTACCCCACACATTCTTTTCTGATGTGACTCCCATCCACCCTCTTCTTAGAAATCCTCCAAAGGGGATTTTTGTAAGTGTCTCTTTTAGCTCAATAATACCATTTGCTGACCTATATCCAAGGGGAAATCTTACATGAGGTGTGTCCCAGGCAGCTAAGTAGCCCACTATATAGAGTACTGGTTGTGGAGTTAGTGAGACTTGAGTTCAAATTCAGCTTCAGACACTTAGCTATGTTAGCTATGTGACCCTGGGCAAATCACTTAACGTGTCTGCTTCAGTTTTCTCAACTATAAAATGGGTTTACTAACAGCCTAGACCTCACAGGGTTGTTGTGAAGATCAAACGAGGTAATATTGGTAGAGAACTTGGCAGAGTGTCTGGTATATAGAAGGTGCTTAATAAATGCTTGTTTCCTTCCTATAATGGAAAAGGTGGCAAACCCGGAATCAAAGCACTCCCCCTGTAACACTTAGAGCTGTATGACCAGGGGCAAATACTCGAACTTTTTAAGTCTCAGTTTCCTCATCTTTCAAAAAGTGGCAAGATAGTACCTGATACTCATCGGAACACAGCAAAATCAAATGACGTAATATGTCAAAAACATTTTGGGAACCTTAAAGTCCTCCATGCACGTTGACTCCGCTTACTCTGATGTGTGTCCAGTTTTCTCTTTTGGAAGGTTATGAGAGCTGCATTGATCATCAGGGACCTAAGCTCAAATCCTTGCTCGATCACTGACCCTAACCCTAAACTTGCACCTGTGCGACCTTACCCGATTAAATCCCTTCTCTCTGACTCAGCTTTCTCGTGGACAAAACGAGGGGTTTGGATCACACGACCCCCGAGGCCCCTTCTCCCTCCAGATTTATGAGCCTGCGCCCTCCTCTGGGTCTTCCCCAGCTCTAAGGTTATGACATTAAGGACTGTAACTGTATGTGGGTCAATACAGAATGTGGCAGTCTACAGAGTATAAGCTCTCTGTGTGCAGGGCTTCTTTCTGCTTTGCCTTTGTATGTCTAGTGTCTGTAGCATGTGTATAATATAGTAGGTGCTTATATATGTTCATTGGAGCAGATTGGGTGGGATGACTCATTTCACAAAGGCAGGGGGTATCATTGCCATCCCCCTCCCCACTCCCTAGGCAAGTCTCAACACACACGTATGCACACACACATGCACACATGCTCACAAGCATACATACATGCACACGTGCACATGCACACACACACATACGCACCACTGTCATGCCTGGCTCACCAGAGCTGATCAATGCTCACTACCAAGACCCAGCCATGGTACCCCAGAAAAGCGACAACTGAGCCCAGCTGCCCCTCCTGTTGAGAATGTCCCAATCCTGGCTCTACCACCTTCTCTTTCGACGTTGAGGAAATCACTAAACATGCCTGGGTATTAGCTTCCCACCCCGTGGAATGAGGCAGCTGGACTCGATGTGTGCTGGGCTCTCTTCCAGCTCTCCGCTCTAAGACCAGCGTTTTACAAACAGGGAAACTGAGGCCCTCCTCTCTGCCTTCACCCACTCAGCTCTAGACATTCTTCCAGGCACTGGAAAATCACACTTGTGTGTGTACTTTGTCAAGTGTCGGAAGAAGCGTAGGGAGGCACTGTTTCAGATACAAAAGCTGAAGAAATACCTTGTGTTTTTGACCAGTTTTTCTAGTTTAATTAGCAATATCAAGAGGAGCAAAACAGGTTTTCACACTGATCGAAACAAATCTGCAAAGTATGAATATTCTAGACTTGCTCTGAATTCTAGAAATGGAAACCACAGAGAGGTGTCACAGAGCAGGTGGATGACTGAGGTCTGTGCAAATTCATTTAGCTTCTCCACATCCTCAGGAAGCATAAGACACCAGTCCTCTGTGCAAAAATGAAAAAAAAATAGTACCCACTATTTTTCCCTTAGAGAGAAGACTGGGCCCATTTTCCTTAGAAAAGCTCAGGGGTAACTTCTATGGAGGCATGAAACAAGCCTGGTTTTGTTTTTAAAATTAAGACAGAGCTGGATATGAGACAAAAGAAGTGTTTTGGTTCCATATTCCATCATGCTAGACTTGGTATTGTGAAGACCTGGGTTCAAATCCTTCCTTAGTCACTAGCTATATGAATCTAGGTCACTGATGTAATCTCTCTGGGCCTCAGTTTCCTCTTCTGTAAAATTAGGAGTTTGGATAAGATCATCAAGGGAGCTTAATAGGATCCTTTTTCCTCCTATTTTTGCAAACAGTTTATGTATTATTGGAATTAATTGTTCTTTGGATGCCAGAATTTTCTTGGAAATCTATCATGTCTTAAGTTGCAAGTTCTTTCACGGCTTATTCAACATTTTTTTCTAAGATTGAGCCATTTATATTCTTTTATTGATCAAGACATTTTAGATTTTATAAATATTTATTTCACTTAAGTTGTCACTTTATTGGTATAGAATTAGGTAAAATAATTTATAATAATTCTCTTTATTTCATCTTCATTTCTTGAGAATTCTTTTTCATCTTTGTTACTGGTAACCTGCTTTTCCTCTTTTTTAAATCAAATTGGCTAAATATGTAATCTATTTTATGATTTTTTTCAAAAATCAGTTCCTAATTTAAAGTCAATGTTCTTTCAATGTTGTTAATCTGATATTTGATTTTAATCATAATAACAATAATAGCTAGCATTTATATAGTACCTACAATGTACCTAGTACTATGCCAAGCACTTTTTACAAATATTTTCTCATTTGATCCTCACAATAACTCCGGGAGGTAGATATTATTATCCCCATTTTACAGTTGAAGAAACGGGGATAGACACTGGTTAAGTGACTTGCCCGGAGCCACACAGCTAGTTAGTGTCTGGGTCCAGATTTGAACTCAAGCGCTCCTGACTCCAGGCCCAGAGCTCCATTCACTGAGCCACCTCCCTGCCCAGGAATTTCTATTTTTATGTTTAATCGGGGTTAGTTACTTTGTTGGTTTTCTAGTTTGTTTTAGGTGTCCGATGAATTCATTGATTTGCTTTTTTGGTTGTCAAAGAAAGTTTTTAGATACATAACATTTCCCTAAGGACTGCTTTGTCTGCATCTTAAAATTTTTGGTACTCTGACCCTGGGCATTGTCTAAACACTGCCCTCTTGGGCTGAGCTTTGTAGGTTTCTGATCATGGTTTGGGTCTGGGAAACACAACTACAGGCATGCCCATGGTCAGAGCTGCAGTAGAGGGCTGGTTACCTGGACCTCTGCTAGCTAGTTGTAAGGTTCTATAATTTGCCACATTGAGATAGGTCTGGACTAAATAAATAAGTAATTCAAGGAAGAATAATTTTTATAATGTGTTCCTGAAAATTCCAAGACTTTTCTTATACTGTGTTGGTTATATTACTAGATATTCATTGCCATATCAATCTCTATATCCCCATTTTGAAAAATTATTCACAAATTCTTATTTCTCTTTAAACCAATTAGGACCATTTTGCTGTAGTTCCATATTCTCCCAGGAATCTGCATGGTCCTCTGCTCATCAGACATTGGTTCATTTTTTTTTTCACCTAGAAATAATTATTCATAGATGTCTGGACTCATTTAGGTGATCTGGAAGCAGTCTTCCCTTCTGTTATTTATATCTTCCCTGTTGGTTTATCTGCTTATGCTCAAGGTCTTTAATCAAGTTTTCTTCCTCCTGAATTTTTGGTAATTTCAGTCTCTTTTCCTTATTATGCCCTTATTGCTCGCTTTCTGATTCCTTTCCCTTTGAACTTAATTTCCCAGTGGACCTGCACCTCAAAACTGTCTCAGCCTCCTCCCACACCGGGCAATTTATATTTCATCAGCCTCTATTTCTGCCCTTAACTGACTTCTGGAAGAAACAAAACTGGCCCCAGTTGGATGCCAGTCTCCTTTTCCTCAGTTCTAGTGGACAAATCTACACACTAGTATCCTGCCCCAGTACCCTTTTTCTCTCAGTTTTCTGGCTACCTACTGTTTCAGAATGGCCATGCTATAGTCCCAGCCTGAGCAAATTTCTGCCTTTTAGTTTTTCTTGGCGTGGTGAGGATGGGAAAGAGAGTTCGGTTCTGCTACAAGCCCATGGGTCTGCTTGTGCATTCCTGCCAAAGTGTAGTGGTTGGTGGGGAAAGGGGCCCTGAGGGAATATGGTAGAGGTTCAGTTGATCAGATTGTTACCTCATTGGGGTTCTTGTGTCTTATCCCATGGAGGCAGCTGAAATTACTTTATCTCTTGTGCATAATTGCTGTTTTGAGGGGTTTATGAGGTCATGAGGATCAGAGGAAGTATCTAGTCTTCCATCTTGCTGGCCTTCAGGAAGTATCTGAACAATAGTCTAACAGCACTTCTACTATCAGAGTAAAACACGTGTGTGTGTGTGTGTGTGTGTGTGTGTGTGTGTGTGTGTGTGTGTGTAATGAGGATGAGAAGAGAAAATCGAATCAGGCCTTTTGTCCTTATTGAGGTCATCTAATTCCCCCAGTTGTTAACTTCCCTCACCTTCTCAATTCGCTGTGCATTTACTTTGTACTTATTCTCTGCTTATTTATCTGTGAACATGTTGCATCCTCCTAATTCCAGGGCCTGGTAGAATGCAAGCTCCTTGAGATCAGGGCCTGTTTTTCATTTTTGCATCCTGCAGTAACTAATAGAAGTCTTGGCATTTACTAGGTGCTTAATGAATACTGGTGGATTAATGTTATTGTAGAGAAGAGACGGAGACTTTGCAATACACGTGACTGCTTGCAGATTATGTTTTCACATTTTCTGTTTTTAATCACAACATGAAACATTAGTCTTTGAGTTCCTTGGAACCATGGACACACTATTATAGATTGGTTCAGTCACGTGATAAGACCATGTGGAATAATGGCAAGAATGTCCAATTTGGAGTCAAAAGACCTGGGTTCAAATCCTGGCTCTGCCACTTAATACCTGTGTGACCTTGGGCAAGTCACCTAATGTCCCCGACCCTGTTTACTCATCAGTAAAATGGAGTTTCAATGCCCTCTGAAGGCCTTTCTAGACTATAAGCCTGTGATCCAATTTTATAATTGAGGAAGCTGACACTCGGACTGCTTTTGTAACTTGCCCAGGGCCCTACACCTGGTGTCAAAAGAAGTTTATGAACCCCGGTTTTCCTGACTCTGAGTCCAGCGCTTTGCTTTGTCTCAGCAGTGAGAGGTGGAGGGAGCTTCGGTACAGAGCCAGCCCACGGGGCCAGAGTCAGTGA